AATACTTGGCAAGAGTACCATATAACCCCATACATTAATTATGCATTCAGACCGGTAGACTTTGTTTCTAAAGTTTTGTCGTGAAAGACAAAGAAGTGGAATGCATAATTAATGTATGTGGTTATAAGGTACTCTTTCCAAATACTTTGTTAGTTTTGCAAGCAAGTGGCCGTCAAACTCAAATGGCGTTCGTCCATTGTTTACGGCAGGTTCAGTGATCAGTCGGCCGTTAGGTTGTTCTGTTTCTTAAGTCGTTTATAAGATGCCGATAGTTGGTGTCATCTGTTGTGAGGAGCCTTCTACACGTTTGTGATCTAACTTCTCAAAGTCAGTCTTGAAAGATAATGTAAGTCGATGGGGCTCAGTACTTAAAGAAATCAAACTCGTTAAAAGATTTTAATTTTGAATTTCATTTCGTCTTTTTCCGGACGAAGTATTTAATTAGAGTGCCAACTTAGCATCACCTTTGTGTTAAATCAACTGAAATGTATCTGTAAATGATACTAACTGTTAAACAGACCATAAAAAAAGCGATAACAGCTTTGAAATTAATGATCTATGAGTGTCAGCATTCCGTGACTGAGGGTTATATTAGATTCCAATTGTTTCTGTCTTAAATTCGATGCAACGAGATTATGAGATAAATTACACCAAATTATACTGTCTGGTAGTTCGAATAAAAGAAATGATCGCTCAGGGTCTGCTTAACAATCCGTAACATGTTAAACTATTCCAAAAATGGTGGCTAACTGAGAACGGTTCACTTACCATGTAGTCAATTTTATCCTTCCAAGACAACTGGTGAAAGAACGAAGACTTCGTACAATAATTAGAAATACAAGTGGCCACCATTTTTGCTAGTATTACTAAGTTTAAAGTTCTCTTCTTTGCAGTATCCACTGAAATTTCAGTCATTCAAGTGTCTGCTCTTGACCAGAATCTTTGTTCTTTCATCCTTCTGACAACCTTTGCTCTTCCTGAGAGGATAAAATGTAAATGTGATCTGGGAATGGTTACTTTCTAGGAGGACGAGAGCTAAAAATCAAAATTCTGTACAATTGTTTTCCTCCTGTCACAATTATAGAAACAGAGAGGGCATCAAATTTGTTGAAACGTTATTTTGCAATGAAGCAAAGGCCACTGGGTAGCACCCCGAGTCAGATGTCACAACTCCTCGAGGCTGTATTCAAATACAACACAAGTCCCAGTAGATTAACCATGCAAAACATTTTTATCTGAGCGTTTCACGAGAAATATTTTACAATCATACGTTTTGGTTTTCTCAAACCCAACATCATAATTCAGTTTAATTTCGAGATGACGAGTCGCCCAGACCAAGATACCGACTCGTGGTATGTCGTTGAAATGAGATAAGATGACTCGTTTGGATCTCAGAAGGGAGCTTAAGACGATATTTTCCAAGGGGAATACTCACCCGCTGTTGTAGTGACATAAGAGTGCTTTCGATGCTCTTCTCTGCAGGTTCTTTGTTGGCGACTTCTTCTTTCCAGAGCGCGATATTCAGCACAACATCCGGACAGCACGTCTTCGCTCTTGAACGAACAGCGTGATTTTCTGAAAATTCTACAACTTCTGATGAATATGGATTAACAAATGCAGCCAATAATGAGCTGCTACGTCACAGATTTGGCGCGAAGTCTGTTTGCATGCTCTGACAGCTAATCAAGAATCGAGCTAAATGAAGAGCACTGGGGGTGATAGATTGGCGTGTAACAAGAGGAAAAAATTTCACAGCAACTAAGTTTTAGAAACTACCAAGACTGATAATGGGTAAATAAAGAAACGTAAATAAATTTGAATGGTTATGAAGGAAGATGTTCATTTGTCTTCTCTCTGGTGGGAAAAAGAAAAAAAATTCCCACTCCCGTCGGATTTCGTGCTCTAACGCTCAACCAGTACGCCACAGAAACACCACAATGAACTTTGTCGTTATATACGAGGTCCATATGTAACTCATGTCCTGTGCACAGCTACGATAAGTAAATATCCAAAGTATCATATGTGTGAGCAGAATGAGACAGAGACAACACGAATAAACATCATTCTCTATCACTTTGCCCAGCTCAAAATTTTACTATCTTTCGTATTTGAAAGGTTGTTCGATGTTCTTGGTCAACCCTAAAGAGAGCAATGAGCCGCCTAACCCACGATCAGTTTAAGAAAAATTCACCTCACCAAGTTGCCTTGTCGAAGAAGTGGCATATCAGCCTGTGGAACACGTGCCATTTTTTTGTGTGTTTTTAGGCGAGCGGACTGAGTAAAGCCTGAGACGAGAGTGAAGAGAGTGTGGGGAGTGAGACCTACTTAAAAGGAGGAGCGCGGAAAAAAAAAATCCATTTGATGCTGTCTCGCTACTGGCGCTCTCATCCGCTAACCTAAGACGATAAAATTGGCGCCTTCCCACAGGATAGCCCCACGTGAAGCATATTGAGGCCTATTACTCAACAACTAAAGAAGCCTCAACTGTGCTCTGTTCTGTCCTAAACCACGTAAGGAGTGGCTGGAGCACGGAAGACGTGTAGGGGAGCAAATGACGGAGGGCCAGTGCTCGAAATAACAGCTTTAAAAATCTCTACGGGGCTCAATTTACATTATCCGATTCACTTTCCAAAGAGGCTTCCAACACTGGAGTTTGCACGGTTTGTGGACCTACACTCCTTTAAATGACGTCATTTTGCTGAGGCTTTCGTTCCCTCGGTCGTCACCTGGGTACTAATTTGAGGGTTGATGCTTGCCAACACGTTTCGCTTTCAATCCATGTTTGGAGTAAGATGAACTTGGAAAAGAGTTTTTAAAGTGAGATTGTGGGTGCTAATATTGAACCATGTATTGCTTACAGTGGCTATTGCCTCTTTTACTCATTCCACGACCGGCGAACTTTTTTTTGTTGCACAATCATTCGGTGTTCATGACCCTGTACTTGGCGAGTTTCTTCCTCGAAAGACGCCCGTGTACGATTTGTACGATCGTTTTCATCGCAGCGGTGATTCTTATATGCTACAGTGGAATTGGAAACTGTCTTTTCCTCACGGAATGTAGTACGTAACAGCAAGTATTTACGGATTTCGTTCATTTGACTGGCGGCGTGTCACGAAGTGATCACAAGGCCTAATGCTGCCTAGATGATACATTTGTTCTGTGGTGTTGAACCTCATTCATTGCCTATTGCACGCACAAACTGTTTGGTTGTGAGGCAATCATCGTAGCGATTTTTGTGTTCACCAGTACAAGTAAAAAGGATATCTTCGTCCCGAGATCCAATATTGGTTATTTTGTTGAACATGTCCACTGCAGTTGATCAGAGCGTTTGTCGAAGGAACATTTGTTACGGATGTTTGAAATTCTTCATTTCGATCGCGAATGGATTGTGAACCAGATTTAACACAAAGTACGTTTTAAACGAGTGTGTTATATTTCAGAGGAATGAAATTACGAGGTTTCCCTCGAGTTTTTTTAAATGGAAACATGTTCGGGTGGACACTGAAAGAGGGAGGACCTCCTTACATGGCTTCTCATTCTATGATCTTTGTCAGATTTTGATGCTGGTCGATTCCCGTAACACTACCGAATGGAATGGAATCACGAAACGCCTCTTTATGTCGTTTATCGATCTTGCTGTGTGTAATGCGAACTATCAGAGGACAATGAAACCAGCTATGACAAGTTTCAGTCACATCAAGATGAATAGCGTCTACTATTTCACATCTGGTAACTGCCTTTTCTTTCCTAACGAGAGGTTTTGATCTTCTTTCTTGTGCCCTTTAGTAAGAAGCTTTCCTTGGCGAAGTTTTGGCTTGATCGCAGATCTTAATCAGACGACCCAAAGGACAATATTTTTTTTAGACAATACATGTGTGATCACCAAAATTGTGAATCAAATACTATATAGTTAAATGTGAGTGAACGAACGAGTTAATCCTCTTCTCGTGTTAAATATGTTAATAAGGTGTTCACGATTTCAACTGAATTATCGATTGTATGCTTTCATAATTCAGAGGATACAAAGCTGTAAAAAGTATTAGGAATAGTTTTCTTTGGATTATCAACCCATAAAGTTCACATTGTCAAGAGTCTTTCAACCTCTATTAACTCCTCGATGTGATATGTAACTTATCCCCACACTATCAATACCATATCCAGGAAAGGTGGAGAGAATACCCATAACAGCCAGTAGATCTTGATAGAATATCGAGGAAAGGGAGGAAATTTCTGGGGACATTCCAAATGAACGTACTGGATATAAAAGATTAACCATGTCATAAATGTCCATGGATAATTCCTCAAGGGATCTTTACCCTCCAACCCATTCCCCTTTTTCAGCCATGGTGACTACTCTTGTTTTAGTCAAAATGTGCTTGGAAGTTGTGAGAAGATTTAGAGCTGTTATAGTGTAACTTGACAACACTTTAAATGGAAAATTGTACAGGTGTACGTCAGAAATTACAAAATTCTACAGTGGTGGCCTGTTATTGGTAGACATTGACCAGTACGTTACTCACTATTCCTTCTGGATGGGAGTCTTTTTTTTTATGTCCCTCACTGGTAGTTTTTTGGAACCCATTTCTGTCTATGGTCACAGTAACTAGAGTCTCTTACCCAAGTATCCAACACAATGACTGAAACAGGGCTCACATACAGACATCTTGATATAGAATCTGGGACACTATCCCTACCCCCTCCCTTCATATCTGACATGAAAATATATGGTAGGCAAGAAATACGAGAAAGGGAGAGAAAAGGGGAAGATCCTAGACCTATTTATAACTGCACTGTAAGCTAGTTTCTTCGTAATTCCCAGGGCTGTTCGACAAAATTGATCAACTTTGGACCCTTGATCAATAACCACATCACAAAGCAATAGCTAAACATTATCTTATCTACAACACCAAGAAACCCCTCTCCACACTAGTGGCATGTGTGAACCTGATTAAAGAAACTAGTTCAAATGTCACCCTAGAACATAAGTTTGATGACACAAAGCTTTTTATTATCTCAAATATCTATGTTAGCTGTACAGTACACGTTCAAGATAACATATCATAACTATACATAGTCAAAACTTCCATCTTAAGAGACTAAGTTACACATATGGCAAATCAGCTGGATATTCCAACTTAATTCCTCAGAATTGAAATGGAACCCAGGAATGATTGAAAACCAGTCACCATGAGAGTTATCGGTAACTAAACCAATCATGGTTTCTGGCATAACAAGCCTGTCTGCTGGTAGTACAATATAACTTCAATTTGTTTATCTCAAAATTTAGTCTGTCCTTAACATATCCATATCTAAACAATCTAGAAGAAAAACATCACTTTTTACAGATTGACACAGTGTAAACCAAGGATTGTCAATGTGTAGTTTTGTCAAGGTACTACACTGAATTAGATGACTTAGAGGATTTTGGGAAGTTTCTTAAAATTATTAGATAGTTCGATAGTTTTCATATAATTTTTTTTTGGGTGATGTAGGACAAAAATTGTTTTGGTAATTTGTAACTTCCAGAAGGCCCACATAACCCCACAACCTCTGTTGGCTTGGAAATATCAGCTTAGATAGTATTTACCACCTCTAAAGTTGCTACCAACTATTTGAATCTCAGTAAAGCTAAAGAAATGCAGTTACACTTCTGAACAAATTTCTTACCATCCTATGATCATAATGTAAATTAACCTTTTCTAGTGTTTTTTTCTTTTTCTTGGTTTCATATCAAATGTGGAACAGCAGGAGATCTTGTTCATCCCAGGCTGACACCAGCTTCTTGAAGATATTTCTGCAGGAATCCCTGTGCATCTGCATGAAGCTCAGATGTGATCTTGGTGTTTATCTGTAAGAATTGACAAGATTCAAATATGTAAATAAATACAGGAATAAAAACATTGAACCAGGAGTCGATGCAGCATAAGCTGCATTCTTGTCTTTATCTTTATCATACCTTTCCAGGGTGTCTTGATGCTAGTTTCTGCAGTGACTGTGCAAGGAAGACTTTAGCATCGGGAATCATACCAGAAAATGGGTCTCTCTCCTTCTTTCCCGCAAATGCCAGTTGCGAGTAAGCTGTCTGATAGCCTGTGGAGAATTAAACAACATCTACTATCTTAACAGAAATAAGTTTTTCTTTTGAATTGCTATCTTCTGCACCTAAGATCACATAAAAATTTGCATGTTTAAACTGAAACTACCTTAGATTAATTATTGGCAGGGGATTATCTTTTCTTGACTGCTAAAACTGATGGAAAAGAACACATGCTTACAACAAAAGCTACTTAGCACGCTGAAATATTAACAAGGATGAGTGGATCATGTTTACTACAGATGCTCTTGGCCCATATATCAGTTGATGTATCAGTCGATATTAGACTATTGACCGAGTATCGACGGTGTATCAGATAACTATCAACTGACTATTGACCAAGTGTCGAACAACATATTGCTTGAGAGCACCTACAGTAAACATGATACGGCAAAGTTTATGTTTAAGAATACAACATTTTTTGGTGACCACTCAAAGCCCTTCAGAATGAGAATGTACAATTCTGTGAGAATCCAAGTTTCTCGAGACCCAAACACTAAGTTAGTAGAAGGCAGCGTGGTTGAGTGGTCAGCGTGTCGGACTTGCGATCCACCGCTCCCAGGTTCAAGTCCCGCCCTGGCCACTACCTGCATTTGTTTCACGGTAGCCCCGAGTTTCAAATCCTCGGTCATGCTTGTAATATAGCCAACTGGTTTGCCTTCGGCCAGTTGGGATTCTTAATAATGTTATTTTCAATTTGAAATATTTGTTACAGTTGTTTGGTGGAAAACCGGTAAACTAGCTTCTAGCTAAGTGTTTCTCCACATTAAAAACTGTTTATTATTATTATTATTATGTTTATTATTATTATTATGTTTATTATTATTATTATGTTTATTATTATTATTATGTTTATTATTATTATTAGTGTCCTGGGATGTTCCACAGTCAATTTTAACAGCTCTCTACCTGGTGTGTCTTCAATTTCTATAAAGTGCTCATCATCAGGGATTGAATCATCTTCAGGTAACTCAAAGAATTCAATCAAAACTTGTAACAATGGGATCCTAAAATAAGAAAAATGATTGCAATAAATTTTTAGAATTTTTAATCATAATAACTAATTTTCTCCTTAAAACCTCTAGAAATAGGAAAATGCCTTGGACGAAAACAAAGTTCCTCGGTTTTAAAAGTCAGCCCTCATTATTTTCCGCTAATTTCGCAAAATTTTAGACCCAAAACACATAAGCCCGGGTTGATGACCACACCCTCTGATGTAGCATTTCATTATTCAGCGTGTCCTGTTACACCACATTTACGTATCGACCGCTGACTAACTTTATACCGCAAATGAGAAACAAAATGGCGCCTGGACAGAGAAGTTGCTGTCTTTTGCAAATAAAAGCAACGAATCATCAAAACTGCATTTCAATGGATCACAGAAAAGGTATACACGAAGAAGTCAGACGTGTGATCGCGTTCTGAGAGGTGAGAAACGGTTATTCACTTTTCTAAATGAGCTCCTCAGCACTCTGAAATTGCTTAGCTTAATTGGTGACTAATATTATTAATAATTGATAACATTATTAACAGAATTGGTGACTAAGAAATTGCTTAGCTTAATTGGTGACTAGTATTATTAATTAATGATATTATTAATAATATTGGCGACCAATAAATTGCTTAGCTTAATTGGTGACTAATATTGATAATTAATAATATTATTAATGATATTGGTGACTAATAAATTGCTTAGCTTAATTGGTGACTAAAATTGGAGCTGAAAAATGTATGAAAATCAACCATTTGGAGCTTGCTTTCGTGTACATATATTAATGGAATTATTTATCATTATTATTGTTATCGTTATTTATATATTATTATATATATACTTATTATATTATTGTTACTATCATTACAGTTGTAATTTTTATAATAAGAGTTTCATAAATATTATGAGATATTGCGCACTACCAGTTCAGCTGTTATCAGCCAAGAAAAAAGAAAATACCGAATTGTTCAAATTCATAACGAGAGCATAAAACTTTGCTGCATTACACATGACAGCAAAGGAAGCAAATGAGTGATACATTTTCATCTACTGGCCCCCTGTACCTTAATAACCAGCGGGAACCTCCAGTCTTGCGAGAATCGATGGCCTCTCGCCACAATGATGAGAGCGTAGAAGCGCGAAGCCCGTTCGCTTATCAGGTTGGAATCT